CCAAACACACCAATTTTGGAGTGAACCCGTTGTGTTTTGACCCTTTATCCACTCGCTACAATTTTAACGGTTTCGAATGACTAGAACTTTTTGCACGGCTCAACGAATGGTCAAAACACAACGGGTTCACCCCAAAATTGGTGTGTTTGGGTTTAAGAATGTGTAGATTAAGTTCAACGGAGCGGATCGCAAAAAAAATTTAATTAATATTTTTGAGCATTAATTCTTCAAGGATATCTCGTGGTCCACATTTTAGGTATTAGATAGAAATAAACACTCATCCCAATTTACGCTTGTGGGCATGGTTGGGATCAGTACCACGCACTTCTTCTACACTAATACAAGTTTATTGTCAAACATCATTAGCTAGTTTTTCATTTCCATCTTAAAAAAATAATTTGGTCAAAGAGATGATTAAGTCTCAGAGTTTACATAGACTTTGGACACTAACATTGTGGCATACGTACCAAACAACTGTGTCATAATATCATCAAATCATTACGTCAAATATTTGTTATTTTAGTTTTGCTTATCAGTTTCTTTGCTTTGTAAAACATACACTAGAACACACTGGGAAATGCCATCAGAAAATACATAGTTCGTTGTTCAAATATTCAAGATCATATGTGGAACTTCTAGGATCTGTGGAATATCAAATGAGTCTATATCGTACTTAAAAATAATTCTAAAAGCTTTTAGAATCCCTTGCTATCAAGCTTGAAGAACTATCAACCCTTTTCTGAAAACTTACTTAAACTATCCTAATTCCAAGAAAATTGGCAGAATATTTGAACTTGAGACTGTTGAGCAGAGAGCAAGTCCATCCAACCATCCTGGCGGACACCAACGGATTATGTATTTTATTTCATCAGAAGTGGTTTGCATGAAGAACAATATAAATTCCGTTACAGTTCGGCAAAAGTCTGTGATCATAAGCTTCATTTGGAATTGAGATTGAATCCTACACGAGCCATGATTAATTAAAATATACGGATACATTTTCCCTCAATTGACATCAAAGGTTGAAGGCAAATCGTATACACAATGCTCTCCCGTCTCCACACCTATATTGCGAGCTAAAGCACATGAAGAGTCAATACAAACCAAAATCAGCATTTTGTACAACCAACAAGTCCCACATCAGAACTGTGACGCCACTGGTTTCACACAAGCCTGCAGTCCAAGGTGAACCCAAAGATGTCAAACCTGTCATGCACCCAACATTGTGCATAAATATGTTTCACCATCACATTAATATCGTTCTAGCATATGTCAAAATAAGAAACTTTCCTTTGATAAAAGATCACTTAATGTCTTATACCTAACAATAAAATATCTCACTTTTAAGATAGTAGGAGCGATGCCTATGTACAAAATGATCCTCCAAATGAAACAGATAGTGCATATCAACAAGAATCATCTAAATAATAGTTAAAGAAGGATAAACAACCTGTGTCAATAATTCTAACAGCCCAAGAAGTTTAGGTAAGGTCATAAGAAATAGTGTCTTTTGATAGGGTGCATTAACCAAATTTACTTAGATCCGTGCAATCTAGAGAAACCATTTTGAGCTTAATTAGCAAAAACACACAAAAAGATAAAAACAAAGAGCAAATAATAATAATAATAATAATAATAATAATAATAATAAAGAAAAGAAAATGAAATCACAGTTATTCCATAGTTTGTACTGACATTGATTCCTAATACGCCTTCTATGATTAATAAATACCATGAATGAAGTCTTCACAATTCTATCACAATGGATGGGCAAAGACATTAAACCTTAAAACTTTTTAGAGCATATACAAGAGTGATCTTAGGTTTCCCCTATATTTGAGGAGCAAATCTCTCATCTTAGAAAATAGGGAGCCAAATAAGGAGCAAGTGCTCCAACAATACTCCCCAAATAGCTCCCTAAATAGTTGTGGACATTTTTCACTTACCTTCTTTTGTAATACATATTTGTAACGATTATATTCCAACGGCTATATCATAACAGCTATATGACCTCTATAAATATTATCATATGCACTCTCACTTTTCACTCAACTCAAATTGTGTTCATTGTTAGCATCATTTTTCCAATATCTTCTATGTCTCATAACAATGAAATAGCAGTGCTCCTCATGGAAGAAGCTGACGAGGAATATGCAATTTTCTTAGGAATGGCCATTTTGCAATTGTGCGTGGACCAGCGCGATTTTGGGATCAAGAAGTACTGAAAGATATTATGAAAGCATGTATCATAATGCATAATATGATCATTGAAGACGAGCAAGATATTAATCAATGCGATTTCAACTATGATGCAATCGATGAAAGTCCAACTATATCATTGTCTCTTGAGCACATACCACAATTTCTTGAATTTATTCAAAACCACCATCACATTAGAGTACAGACAAACACATTCTCAGCTTTAGGCAGATCTTATCGACCATTTGTGGCAATGACATGGTGGAAAATAGGAAGCATTGTGTGTTTTCAATAGCATAGCTTACAACATAATACTTATTAAACAATGACAACTAATTAAAACTACCATCAATTCCTTTAGCAATGATTTGCATCTTGAGTTGTTTGTAATATTATGCTTGCGTTGGATTCATGTTACTAGTATCAATTGATATGATTCTTGCATCTTCTCTTTGTTGTTCCAATCGAAGTTATTTTTTCTTAATAAGAATCTTCTCTTGCTCTTGAGCATATATTCTGTCAAGTTGTTCTTATCTCTTCTAATTGTTCACGTCAAGCTTTGCAACGAACTCTTCAAATTTCAATGTCATAGGCATACTCGTAGCAATTGCACGTTTTCCTTTCCCTTTCTTAACAGTTCATTTGTAGCTTTTCTTCCTATCGGTCTTTCCAATTCTTCGGAAAAAGGTATCAAGAATAATATCATCTTCTCCCAAATTTATTGTATCTAGACTTGAAGGAATGGAACTTGCAGGACTAGAACTTGCAAAAGACTAGATTTGTTTGAAGTTTTAGATTTTTTAGAACTATCAATTCTCCACTTTGGTGCATCTTTTAATTCTCTCCAACAATGAAGAAATTGAAATGGATGCTTTTGGATGCTCGTGTACAATTCCACTGCTTGACATACCTATTTAGAAATGAAGCCTATTTAAAAATTATTATACGTAAATAAAATATTAAACATTTTGAATAAAATTAATGTCTTGTCGCTCTTACTAAGACCACTTTGTTGCCTTGCTTCAATTTGAGCATAGTAGCCACAAAATTTATTTACCGAAAGTTGAATTAACGACCAACGCTTCATTAAAGAACTTGTCGTCCTTTGCGATTCACAATTCTTGACTTGATGGAAGTAACCATGCACCTTTTCCCAATATCTTTCATTTTTTATTGATCTCTTGCACTGCATCGCCATGCCAATACAAGTGGAATGCCTTCTTCCACAGTGAAGTTTTTCTTCTGTCCGGTTTTTCTAGAATTTTTTTTAGTTGACTTAACTAGCATGACAGATTGATTGGGATTTTTATCCAATAGACCACTATCAGACAATGATCCCTGATTTAGTAGAGAAGTGTAATAATCCATCTATAAAAAAATAATACACATTAATGTCAACACTATAATTAATTTTAAAAAAATTAAAATGAAATGAAAACTAATAAATCAGTTGTACGTATAAAATATGAGAGAAATAAAATAATTAAGAGATGAACTAATTTACTTACCTTTAAAGAAAAATAGTAGAATGTCAAGTGTAAAATAATTATGAGATAAACTAATTTATCATATACAAAGATGCAATATATATATATGAAAGAAGAATGAGGGGCTTAAATGCAAATATACCCGTTGCAAAGAGCCGTCGTAAATATAGGGAGCCACTTTGTTGTCCTTGATTTGGAATATCAAACCATATTCCTTATATTTAGTCTCCAACATAGGGAACCGGTTGGAGCAACTTTTTCCCCTCCTACTTCCTATATTTAGTCTAGGACATGAGATAGGGAGGTTGTTGGAGATGCTTTAGGATCCCTTCAAATCATGTTCAGACCTAGCTGTTAACGCAAACAACTATTATCAGTGGATGTGGCCGATAAAGTTCATACCCCAGCATAGTGACCTCAAAGTTTATCTTTCCTCGTCTCAGTGCCTCCGCTGCATTGCATAAATCACAAAGATGAACTCCTATCTACAAGCAAGCGTTTGGCCATGGAGTTTCAAAACATGCCAATAGTAAATGATAACATGGAAGTAATATTGAGGAGCTCAACCTGAAATGCTCCAGAAGAGAGCTTGGCTTGGTTAAGTATCGGGATAACCTGCTACCAATTCATCAAGGGGTTATGGATAATAGTTGCCCAATAAACTCTACCCAATTCAACAGTGATCCTATTTTTGATCTGTTTTATTTCTTTCTCATTGAAACAACATGCTAATCCTCAGACAAGATCCTGCATTGGAAAAATATCATTATTAAGTCCGCATGATCATGACTTTGGATTTATCACAAACTGTAAGATTAGACCCCAGACTCCGCCTTATTACTAATCAATGAAGCCCCTAAATATTGATCGATACCAGGTTGAAACCTAGTAGACAAACACAGTAAAGTTGGTGATAACGTCTACGCACTCCAGTAGCACTTCTTACAAATGTTTCCGACATCCACATAAGCTGCTAACAGAGCTGGGGAAGATACAACGCCAACCGTGTCGCCTCATGATCCTGGAACTAGCAGCAACCCAACCATTATTTTGAGTAAACGTTCACCTGCAAGATATGTTGTTATACCTACTGATGAGGAAATCCAACTCCCATCGTAATGGTTCATTCTTTTCCTTTTTAGGAGAATAGTATTAGCTTTTGTCCGGATGAGTATCGCCTGAATGAAATATACAAAACATGTCAATAGGAATGACAAAATTAATAGTTGGAGCAAGGCGAAAATCCATGATAAGGATTCTACAAGCATAATAAGATATTGTTAAGAGGACAAAATTTCAGAAACAGATTACACGGAAGCTCAGAATCCCGGTTTATTAGGTCACTTGAATATTAAAATACATGAGAATTAGCCAATATTCTTAAAATTGTTAAACACTTTAATGTACAGTGACTCGTAGAGTTGCATTCAGAACATTTAAATTTTACTATTACATCTTAACAATAACAATAAGCTCATACTTAGTTATGTCAGAAACAAAATAAATTTGGAACTAATGCCCTTAACTCCAGACCTGCACTATGAACTAACAATTAGATCTTCAAATGGTACAAAGAGACAGCTCAGCAACTTTGTAATTCCTCTGTGGGTTCAAAGATACAGCATCTGTCTCAGCTACACTCTGCATGCAAACTTCTCAACTCCACTTCACAGAGGGCCAGGCTGCTACATGGAAAGCAAATCTTCCACAGGTCATCCCTTTAGTTTTGGGTTAGACCTCTGAGCGCAGCTGCAAAAAGCTAAGAGCAGATCTGCATCAATAATCAAACTGATGTAAACAATACAGAATTTACTGAAAACCCAAAGTACATGGTCAACGTGATGTGGGTTTCCTACCAGATTGAGGTATAATTTTTATTTACAGGAATTGGCAGTGTGCAAGCTATTTAGTGCTCGTGTTATGAATGCAGTAGAAGTAATGAACATAAGAACAATACATCTCTTTCTTCTATAGCAGTTTGATATTTCTATTTCAAATGTTCATTATAAAAATAAAAGGGAGAAGTTAGCATTGAATAGACAGATATGTTGTTCAAACAAAGAAGCTTCTCTTCCGTATCATCTACATAATTCAATTTCTCAATTTTCATTTAAGAAGAATCACATCCGAGCTGATTTTCTGTCCAGACATTTATGGACACAGGTTTTACTTTGAAGTCTCGAAGCAAATTTCCAGAAGAAATGTTATTTAAATAATAAAACCCACGTATAACACGATACATCCATTCTGTCTTGGAAGTAATGATGGCTATATGCCAATTCACAGATTGTGCCTGAAGTTGAAAACTAATCAATTTACCATATAATTTTACATCAACATGTTACAGTACTGAGTTCTTTGTCAGATATCAATCACATGATAAAAGAAAAGGCAGCCTACTAAACAATATTGATAAGCATATCAGAAACTATTCCTGCATGATACCAAGGTAAGCATTATAATCAGTCTATGAATCAACAGGATCTTTATGCATGTACACCAGCAAAAGGTTTAAACGGATTCTAGAATACTGAAGAAAGAGTGAAATTGATCTGAAGTGTAACATTCAGGTTACTAGTAAAAAATACAAACTACTAAGATCGTCACAAAAGTTTTGGAGGAAATTTATCACTGACCTTAGATGAAGTAGCTCCAGACTGTCGACCAGAAGCTGCATTCCTCCTGACACTTCCTCCACTTTCCGGAGAAATTTGTTGATCTACATGGTTTAAACCATAATCATTCTGATATGCTTGGCTATTTGGTACATGAAACACTGTTCTACTTCCTGCTGCAGAAACATTATGACTGGTTCCCGCCGAGTCATTGTTTTGAATAGTATCAATTTGGTTAATTTGGTGATTAAATGAGGGGTTCGCCTGGTCCTTCTTTGAAAATTGAGTTGCCGCAGCTCGTGCACCCGCAATAGCTGCATCAACGCTCGGTGGTTTCTCTACTGCAGAAATTCTGGATACAGTGAAGTTCGAAGTAAGTGCTCCTGGCCTTAGCGATGACGGATTATGTGGGTCTGGAAGTGGAAACTTCACTGGTTGAGGTCCTTCAACTTGACGGAGGCCTCGTACTGCTGCATCATAAATCTGAGAGGTAATAAGTGCACATTGAGAATGACAAGAACAGTGGTCAGTTATGTAAAAGCCAAAATAAGCTTTGCCCAATATAAAAGAAGAATTTTGACTGCTTACCCTTTTTTCCAGATTATAGACCCCTTGATAACCTCTCATCTCAAATGGAACCATCAATTTCTGCATTGATAGATTCCATAAGAATCTTAGAAAAGACATTTAAACCCAAAATTTGTAAATTAAAAGCAAAAGCAATAGGTAACTGATAGCATGTCAGGCAGCCAATTAATAAACAAAAGAAATATCGTCATTTAGTATTAGAATCTACGATGTCATATTTTTAAACCTTAATTATTTATGTATACCTGTGGTTGTTCACAAAGCCAGCAGAAGTTTGTTAAAAGCGATGACAGATTATGTGGGTCTGGAAGTGGAAACTTCACCGGTTGAGGTCCTTCAACTTGACGGAGGCCTCGTACTGCTGCATCATAAATCTGAGAGGTAATAAGTGCACATTGAGAATGACAAGAACAGTGGTCAGTTATGTAAAAGCCAAAATAAGCTTTGCCCAATATAAAAGAAGAATTTTGACTGCTTACCCTTTTTTCCAGATTATAGACCCCTTGATAACCTCTCATCTCAAATGGAACCATCAATTTCTGCATTGATAGATTCCATAAGAATCTTAGAAAAGACATTTAAACCCAAAATTTGTAAATTAAAAGCAAAAGCAATAGGTAACTGATAGCATGTCAGGCAGCCAATTAATAAACAAAAGAAATATCGTCATTTAGTATTAGAATCTACGATGTCATATTTTTAAACCTTAATTATTTATGTATACCTGTGGTTGTTCACAAAGCCAGCAGAAGTTTGTTAAACCTTCAAGCCTTACCTGTAATAATTCATCACTATTGATCAAGAAGGGAGGGAAAATAGAGAGGTTATACCAAAATATAGATCAAGAGAATATTAAAAATGTACTCATAGAGTAATTCAAAGCTTTACCGATTCTGGTACTGCCTCCCAGCTCACTAGCTCTTCACATTTAAGACAGCCGACCACTTCAACACAGCCTATAACCAGAATCGTATACAACAATTAGCTCCATGGTGACGCTATAACGAGGAGAAATGATTACAAAGAAATTCGCTCCAGATCATTCCATAGCAAATACTATCCAAATTACTTTGATTGTAAGATAATGTGTAAAGAAAAATAGTCCATCTATTATTAATGCACATGACATAAAGATGTGAAACTTCCAACTGGTCATACATAAATCAAGTCCAGCTCTTATCATATCAATATATAATAAATGATGGAAATGTATGATCTTTCTGGTTCCGTGAATCACATCATACTTATCTTCGAACAAAATACAAAACCGAATAAGCCAAGTCCTAGGAGTAGCTGAAGAAGAATAATCCAAGGCAGTTTTTACCTCGGAATAATGGTAAGAACATAAAAATTTCGGTACGGGTTAAATATGCCGCTATGCCTACAGACATGGTCCTTTCTTTTCTATGTTTACATACATTTCAATACAAACATGACAAAGAATTTATAAGCACCATATAGAATTTAAACAGAATCCACAATAAACGTACTCGTTCTAACTTATATATAGATCAATGTTACTTTTCTTAAACTTCAGTCTACGGGAAAAAAAAGTTGCGATCTTTAGTAAAAATATAAGAAAAAATTATCGAATTCAGTGCGCACCAAGAAGTCGAGACACCGGATAATGCTCAGGGAACTTAATATCAGTAATCCCATTAACAGCATAAATCTCCCTGTAGAAATCCTCCATTGCCTTGATAGTCTCGGGCTCTGGAACTTTGGAAGCAGCATGAATCCAAAGACGACCTTCAAATTACAAGAAAATCATATCAAAACAACTTCAAACTTCAAAAAAAGAAAAAAGAATATTAGGAGTAATAGGGATATTACCGGTGATTGGAGACGGCCAAGATCGGCCCTCGATTCGCTTGATGCCGTGGACCAAGAGAGAGGCCCATGGTTGGTGCATCGTCAGGCACGGGTTCCTGTACTTTCCGCCGCCTCTCGCCGCCATCGCTCGACCTCCGATCCTGCTACCCCTGTAGCTTATTAGTTATTAGGGTTTTTGTTCCTTGCGGAATTGGGAAATTTTTGGGGCTTTTGGCTTTGAAAGAGGAGGGAGCAGGACGATTCTGTATCCCGTTCGGACTCGTGTCGGGCCTCAATTATTAATTAACCCGTTCGGCCTCAGGTTGGAGGTAGAGGCGCTCTACGTACGGCTGTAGAGAATATTAAAAATGTATATCCCCTAAAAACCAACTCAGTTCTAATTCTGTTGCAGTTTTTCTCCGAATCAGTTTAGGGGGGTGTTTGTTTCGAATCCTATAATTTTAGGACTCGTTTTATAGTCCTTTTTTAGCCTAAGAAAAACTGACCTAGAACTGATCCGGTTTTCACCGATCACAAATAAATTCAAAACTGGGTCAGGTTCACTTCTGACCCACTTTTAAATGTTTGCCAAACACACATCTAGAGAACCGATACAGCTGATCAATCATTAACTCCTCTCTCAGTGGACTCATGAATTATATTCGTCATATAAATTATATTAAAAAGTTTTCTAATATGTAGTCCATGCCATGAGTTAATGTTATTAACCAACGTAAGTAATTGTAGAAATTCTCTATATAATGAACAATATAAATAAGAGTGCTGCTACGGGGACCTAAAATATGGGACCAAGAGAGGGAACATGTGAGGTGTCCCCTCCCTATTGCATAATGAGTTGGCATGAGTTGGCATGGCCAACTCATTAAGCAATAGGAGGTGACACCTCACCTGTCCCCTCACTTGGTCCTATATTTTGGGTCCTTAAATCAGTTTCCTATAAATAATCCTAGATCTTCAGGTGGGCCCTCTGTATAACGAGGTAAATAATTCGGAGGTATGTGCGCAACTGTGAATATACTGTATTACTGTTTCCTAGATTTGGGCATGGAGCTTTGATTGATTCGCTATTAGACTTTGGATTAAATTGATTTTTTTTTGGAAAATTATTTTCACGCTTTTGTTTTTCGCAAATCACGCTTCCTCCGTCCAGAAAGTTTTGTCATGCTTCCACTTGAAGGTAGTTTTATCATGCATTTGACCCTCCTAACATAAAGCTTCGCTGCTAGTTTTATGAAAATGTCTCAATATTTATTTATTTGGGCTGGAGTATTATTCGGTGCCAACTGAATAGAACGATCAAATCAATTGAATTTCAATGGTTCAGTTAAGTGTTACAAAAACTACATTCAACTTTTGATAATTTTGAACTAAAGTAACCGGACCGGCTGTTTTCAACATAAAGGTCCAAAAGCTAATGCTCTTTATAGATGAAAAGATGATTGACACTAATTTTTTTATATATCTTAAATGATTAAATTTGATTTTAGTTTGTAAAGTAGTTGATTTGACAAGCATGGTTGAGATATGAGATGACCAAGAGTATTGAAATAGTAAGCATGTAATAATCAATATCTATAGATGCAAATTAATCAAGTTAGTCCAATGAGCAAGTTTTCTTATATGATACCCACCTAATGGGGGAAAAAATCAAACAAGTTTTCAAAGGCTCATTCTAGCAAAAAGCCCAACACACAACTTCATCTTCTTCCTTGCTTATCCACTCATGGGTGAAAATCCTAAGAGTTGGATCAGGTGATATAATACCTACCCAACCCCCTTAATTTCCTCTAATCTTCACTAACAAACTCACCAACCACTTTAAAACCCCTCTTCACATTTTTTTCTCATTATATGTATTTATACTATTATATAAATATACTTATATATGTACATATTTATATATATATATATATAGGGAGAGGTTCAAATACAAACCTCACTATCCTAAAAACTAAAAACCAATCCTCTCCATTGGATCTAGATTCATCCAATGGCTGAGATTAAAGCTGCATAAGGGTAATTAGGTAAAATAAACAGCCCACTAAAGAGAGGTAATTAATGCTTCTTATTGAGTTCTCCATTTCCGCATGCAACTCTCCTCTCACGTTCTCCTCTCTCTCTCTCTCCTTCATTTCCCAAAAGCTTGAACCAGCCCCCTCTCTCTTGGTAGGTGTTATTTTCTTGGTAGGTGTTATATTTTCTTGGTAGGTTATATTCTAAGTTTGATTTGATTCTTGGTAGGTGTTATTTTCTTTTGATCTGATCATGGTTTTGTTCTCGTCATGTATTGGGGATGATAGAAAGAGGGGATCCATGGCCAAGAGTTCCTTCAAGCTCGAGCACCCCCTCGGTTCGTCACGTTTTTCTTTAATTTCAATTTGATTTTGGTTTCTTTTTAGGGTAATTGTTGAAGTTGCGATCTTGGTTCTAGGATTTGTTTTAGCTTGGGGTTTCTCTTATACTCGATCTTGGTTGTTTGTTTTGTTGGATTATCTTTCCAAATTGCAATCTTTTTTAGGGTTTCTATTAAAATATTTTAGAAATTGCAATCCTGTTAGGTTTTTTGTTAAAATTGGTTAAAGTTCGGAATTTTAGTTGTGGGGTTTGTTTTAGTTGCTGTCCTAAATAATTGAATTCACTGCAGTGAATCCAGATTCAGTTATGTGAGGTGTTTGTTTTTACCATAAAAATTGTAACTTTTTGCTTAAAATCATCAAACACGTTCTATAAATGCATGAGTGAATCTCGATTCACTTCAGTGAATCTCGATTCACTGCAGTGAATCCAGCTTGTTTTTACTTCAATAAACGCATGAGTGAATCTAGATTCACTTCAGTGAATCTCGATTCACTGCAGTGAATCCAGATTCAATTATGTGAGGTGTTTGTTTTTTACCATAAAAATCATAACTTTTTGCTGTAAAAGGTGAAAATTTTTCATGTTATAAAATTTTATAGCTTGTTTTTTACCATAAGTTTCTTATTCTGCTTGGATGGTTAGAATGATTCACAAATCCAGTGGAGCAGCAAATCGATTGGAGTGAATCCAGATTCAATTCGTTGGAGTGAATCTGGATTGAAGATCACTTCAGTGAATCCAGATTCATTGCGTTGTTGTGTTCTTCATGTGAGATTTACAGAGATCGGGAAGTGAGTTAGAGAGAGAGAGTATTAAAGAATGTAGCACTATTAATGTAAGAGAGAGTATTAAAGGACGTGTATTAAATTTGTATCATTGTTCCAATGTAATCAGTCACCATTAATGCAATGAATTGTTCCAATTTTACCCTTTTCACATTAATGCAGTGTATTAAATTTGTCTATATTTACAATTCTGCCATCGAAATCTAGGCCATTGGATGAAATAGAATGTAGGGTTAGGATTGGTTTTTAGTTCTCTAGGTTTTTATTAGAACCTCTCCATATATATATATATATATATATATATATATATATATATAGAGAGAGAGAGAGAGAGGGGGAGAGAGAGGAGAATTTGGCTTTTTGTGGAGAAAGAGTTTTGTGTGGTGTTTACGCTTTCGGCATTAATTGGCAAGCATTCTTTTTCTCAATATTATTACTTTATAATAATAATTATTTTTCCCACTCGTTAGATTTTTTTCATGAATTAATATTTGTAAGTTATCAATCTGACTAATATATATGATATTTGTGGATGGCATTTGTAGTAAATAGTGTGATGGCATTAACTGTAAATAGATTGATGGCATTAGCTGTAAATAGTTGATGGCATTAGCTATAAATAGTTGATGGCATCCCCTTATAAATAATTTATGGCATGACCTGTAAATAGTTTATGGCAAGAGCTGTAATTAAATAAAACTTCATAATCAAAATTGTTTCTATCATTGGTTTCTTGTTCCTTCACTCTACAGCTAATTATGGTCATGCATATAGATATTATTTTCCTCATTGGTGTGATTATTAAATGTTCATGTAGCCTCTCGTTTAGAATTTTTGGGGGTGAAAGAAGATATATGATGGTTTATGGTATGTTTTTTCCTCTAATTATTTCAATGTAAATCTACTAAACTAAACAAAGTATTTTTCTATTAAAAGATTAATAATTTTTTCTAGCTAAAATTAGTTCCTAATTTATTCGTTCTTTTATTAACAATATTGTTATATTTAAATTAACTTTTGAGCTTAAATTATTTCTTTCATGTAGTAATTGGAGGTTTCAAATGTCTTTAATAATTATTTTTAGTTTTCTTAATTGTTAGCAGATATATTTATACTTTTAGGATTTATACAATTATCTGAAACCAAATTTACACATTTTCTGCATTGCTTGTGTCATATAAGCAAAGTGAGTGTTGTGGTTAGATGCTTTAGATGATAACTTGTAGGTTGTAGATAAAAATCCGTGACCTTCACATTCTTTTTGGACCTGGGTCTTTTTTTTTTTTTGTGGGACTTTAGCTAGCTAATATTTGAGCTTTTATGAATCTTTAGCTAGTTAAACTTCTTACTAGAGTTGTTAGTTTTTTCAGATGTGACGTTTTGCCAACATAAGGGTGAATTATGTCGATTATGGTGCAGGGTCAGGATCAATATTTTTGTATAGGGCTAGTTGATCATTTATCAAATTCTCTCCTTTTGTCATTCAAAATATTACTTCCCTTACCAGTTTTTAAACTTATATTACCATTTTTTAAACTTATATTATTTTTAGTGAACTTGTTAGCTCATTTTGAGTACTTTGTTATACTTTAAACTAGATTGTGTGTTTGAATTTGTGTTGATCGGTAATGACATCAAATAGGCTAGACTGTGCATGAAGACGACTTCCGTCAAAAATATGATTTATAAGTGTGCTTTCATAGCATGGCTATGCCCTCGATATCGATATCTTGATATGAGGTATTTTCTTGGCTATCACTATTGTAGCATCGACTAGACAATGCACACATCTTGATTGGACATGTTTTGGGTCACGTTTATTTTCATAGTTTTACAGAAGTCGTTCCATGGTAACTCTGTGGTTAGTGCACAACATTTTATGCACAGTCACTTAGATTAAACAGAATAACATGAGGTTTATAAAGGGCAATTAGACAGAGAATATAACATGTGTATAAACAGGCACATGTGCATTCCTGATATCCTGAGTTATATATATATAAGGGCCAAATGGCCAATTCTTAATTTGAAGCCGTGTTCCCGGGACGGTTTACGGGAAACCGATTTATTTTTTTTTTTTTTGTGGGACTTTAGCTAGCTAATATTTGAGCTTTTATGAATCTTTAGCTAGTTAAACTTCTTAC